CTAATACAATGATTTGATTTGATGAAAACTAAGCTAAATTAATCCTAAGGAATGTTTCAAACTAAGAGAGGTTTCTGAAAACTAGGCTACTGTCCTCCTTCTTCTCCTTTTTTAAACGATCTCAAAAGGACCTTAAATAGTCCGTACAAAATTGGCTGAGATCGGGAAAAGGTCCGACCGAACTCTGGGTAGGTTCGGTCGGACTCAGGGTAGGTTCGGTCGAACCCTGTGTAGGTTCGGTCGAACCTCCCTGATCCTTGTTTGGTCGAACTTTTGAGGTTCGACCTCTCCTGCAAAATTGCTGAAAACTGGTTTGACACTGCCTTCACTGCACCCTGGAGGTTCGGTCGAACTTTTCAAAAGTTTGACCACACCAAGGTTCGACCGGACCTTTCAGAGGTTCGGCCACACCTCCTCTTGCACTTCCTTTTCTTGCTTCCTCTCCTTCCCTTTTGCTCCTCTTGCCTTTGTCCATGGCTTCCATACTTGGCCAAGGGGCCTCCCACCGTGCATAGGACCGTCACGGAACCTGCAGAAGATACCAAAGTTCACGAGAGCATGGGGATGATAAAATAATGCATAAAGATTATCGAAATAAGCATTACTTTTCATCAACACAAAAAGAAGCCATAAGAGGATAATGAGGTGGAAAAACCTAAGAAAAATAAAAGGAAAAAGACCTAAATACTACCCCTAAGAGTGTCATAAATGTCACTCATCACCTAGCAAGGTTTTTAATGAGGCAACTTGTACCCCATTCCGTGTGAACGTTCAAAGGGGGAGTGTTGAGAAACATGATTGAATTGAACTTCACATGTGGTAATTAAAGTCAATGAAGACTTTACTAAGTACAATATTTTGTATAAAGTACAATAATGTATATTATTGTATTCAATTATTTTGGCTATATAAATGAAAGTTCACGTATTGTGAACTTAAGTTGAAAAACAAGAAAAGAGTTTTCCTACCATTCTACTACTTACTTCCTATCTTCATCCCTTCACTGATAAATATCTTACCATCAGTAAAATATTTTTAACACTCCTGATGTTTTTACACTGAAATAACCTTGCAGCCACCAAATAATACCATTTTTTCTTTTGACTGCCAAGTGTCAACAATTGAACAAATAAAACTTTGTCTGTTTAATGTCCCACATTTTCCAGGCTATATACTCTGTAAAGCTTGGAGTTGGAACATTATCTTATAATCTTAGGCCTTGTTTGGTTCACCTTATTTTTGCTGGTTTGATCTGATCTGATTGTGTGATTTGACCAAATTTTGACTTTAAGTGTATGATAATTTATAAGGAAAAACTATATCAAGTGGGATCTTGTTAGATTCGTAATAATGTGTAGTTTATTAATATGTAATTTTCACAATTTTTGTCATTACGAAATTAAGAATATTTAGCGATAAAAAACCGCACATAAAACGATGTTCTGATCTGAACTTATTTTTTCTGATCTGATCTGAACTTAATTTTTCTGAAATAAGTAAAAATAAGGTAAATTAAACAAGGCCTTATACTAAACCACAATTTATCAATTCAACCTTTAAATTAAGCGTTTTTTTTTTAACACCATAAACAATAATTGACATTTTTCTGTCTATAATATACGGAGAATAAGTTATTCGAAATTCTAATTTAAGTTTATCTTCTCTACCCACTATTTCACAATATTTTAATTAGATATGAAATGATAAAGTACTACTACAGATTATATCTTGACAAAAGTTGTTAAGAAAAAGTGCTTATTACCACTATATATAATTCTAAGTTTCTAATTACATGTGGGCAATTGGTATACTACTACTATATTAGTCCAGAAATAAGCTCACAAAATTTGATGTTTGACTTCAACTTTATGCAGCCTACCTAATTTGATACTCATTGCTTTTGATCGAACAACTACTTTACAAAAACATCATAATTCATAACATAGCCTCCAAACAACTCTTTTAATTTGCTACTTAACAAAACATTTGGCCAAGTAGCAAAGAAAGTTAAACCAAGGAAAAATGTCAAACTTTTGGCTGTTTCTTTCATATCTTCTCTTTATCTCCTTCTTCTGCTTAGCAAATTCAAGCAACAACACTGCATCATGTCCAATAGACTTCACCTATGTCAATACATTCCCATGGGACACCCAAGAATGCGGCGAAAACGCCGAATCAAGATCTTGTTGCCAAACACTTAGGAGCTTATTAGGCATGGGATTAGCCACATACCTAAAAGACTCCTCAAATTTCTATTTACCAACTCCTGAGTTAGCCTCCTCTTGCCTCTCTGCCTTTCAAACCAAACTTGCCACGATTTCAAGGATGAATGCCTCATTAGTCTCTACATGTTTGAACAACTCAAATGAATTGCTGCTAAACCACCCATCAGACTGTGCTGGGATTAGGACTATCGACGAGTGGAATGTAAAAGCCGGCCTTACACCGGAGTTGAACACGTCTTGCCAGGGTGACATGAGGAGATTAACACAATGTAACTCTTGCTTTGATGCTGGTATGAAGATGAATGCTCAATTGGTAAGTTTAGCACCTAACTCAACTAAGTGCTTTTACTTCACCATTTTTTATGCTGCTGGGATTGTTAATCAGTTTGGGCCAGCAGATTTCGGGTCAGCAGTTTGCATCCTAGGCCTTCCCTTGGCTCCAGGGCATTACAATTTCGGTCAATCTTCAGGGCAACTGAATAAAAACACTAAATATAGGTTTGTTTTCGGGTTTTTGGGGGGTATAGTTGGTGTTTTGATGGTTATAGGATTGATTCATTTGTGTAGAGTTTGGGATAAAAGGAGAAAAGAAATCGCGGTCCATGATAAGTTTGTTACTAGTGTTAGGGGTCAAGTTTCACCTAATGTAGGTACGATATGGTATCATGTGACAGAGTTAGAACGCGCTACCGATGGATTTTCACGAAAAAATTTCATTGGTCAAGGCGGTTATGGGGTTGTTTACAAGGGGACGTTTGCAAGTGGGTCTACAATCGCGGTGAAACAAATCACGGACGATTTGGATTCCATGAGGGATGAAGAGTTTTGCAATGAGGTTGATATTATAAGCAAAATTAGGCATCGAAATCTTTTACCTCTAAGAGGATGTTGTGTAGCAAGTGATAATCTAAAGGGGAAAAGGCGGTACCTTGTGTATGACTACATGCCGAATGGTAGCCTAAGTGATCATTTGTTTGACCATCAAAAGAAGTTAACATGGCCTCAAAGGAAGAACATAATCCTTGATGTTGCTAAGGGACTTGCATACTTGCACTATGGTGTGAAGCCGGCGGTTTATCACCGTGACATCAAGACTACCAACATACTTCTAGACTCGGAGATGAGGGCAAGGGTGGCGGATTTTGGGTTGGCTAAGCAGAGTGTTGAAGGGCAATCTCATCTTACTACTAGGGTCGCGGGCACATATGGATATTTACCCCCGGAGTATGCTTTATACGGGCAATTGACCGAGAAGAATGATGTTTATAGCTTCGGAATTGTGATTCTAGAGACGATGACTGGAAAAAAGGTTTTGGATACATCAAACACCTCAACACCACTAATCACAGATTTGGTTTGGAGTTTGGTTAAGTCCCAAAATGTTGAGGCTACTTTCGACGAATCCATAAGGAATGAAGGTCCAAAGGGCATAATGGATAGATATGTACGCGTTGGTCTACTTTGTGCTCATGTTATGGTCGCGTTTAGGCCTACCATAGCTCAAGCCCTTAAGATGTTGGAAGGGGACATTGACATACCAAAGCTACCAGAGAGACCATTGCCCCTAGCCCACGAGTCTTTTAGGCTATCTTCGTGTTCGTGGCGTAGTGCCTCGACTAGTCGCCAGCAGTAGCAGCTGCAGCACTATCAACACAAGGACGAAACCCTTTGCTTTGCCAATTCCTTAAGTTTGTACATTGTAAAATTAGCCTCCACCCATTTTTAAATTATGGGAAAAAAAAATCGATTCATACTAGATTCTCCTAGATTATGCAAAAAATTTCTTTGATTTCATTGACATGTACAATTAATTAATACGGAATTAGAATTTTGGTTTTCATATATATAATATACCATTCTAATTTTCACCACAAAAAAATATATATACCATTCTAATTATAAAACATCTCCAAACACAATTCGTGGACATAAATACAAAAACAATGCAATTTATTAAATCAATAATCACCAATACAAAATCCCCAAAAATTGTGCAGCTCTTTAAAATTCTTAGCAACGTATGCTGTAAAAGAACACCATAAAATCAAGTACATCATGGGTTTACTTCTTAATGGAATGACAAATGCACAAGCAAGGCCGAGATCACCTATCTTAAGGGAAAATACAAGTTTCATAACATACCAAAAAAAATAAAAAAATAAAATAAAATAAATCTAATAGTATTTTCATAAATAAATCAACAACTTTTTATTAAATGTGTCTCTTATAAATATTGATTTATTTACGAAAATGTTTGAAATTTTTGTTGATTTATTGATGGAATTGCCGCTAAACAAATAGTTTTATTTATTTATTATTATGATGATAAAATGGGGCTTCTTCCTTAATAAATACTTAAACCGTTAAAAAAAATAAAAAATAATAATTTATACGGGTCATCACGATTTATGATCTATGAGCCTAAAATCTAAATCGTTGACTTTGGAGAGAGAAAATCATAAAAATAGATGAAACCAATATTGTACCAAGTACATGTATTTGGGGTCGAAATCACATACTGAGTAGATGAAAATAATCTAGCTTTTTCCAATTGTAATCTACTCTAAAAATTAAACCCCCATTAATATGTTTGCATTTGCTAGTCTTTCTTAATCCTCCTCCTTTTTTACTGTACATTTAATTTTAGTTATTCAAGATTTCTTCTTGTTTAGAAAGAAGATTCATTCTGTCATTCTGTCATTCTGTCATTTGGATTAAGGTAAATTGTTCTTACTTTTTCCTGAATTTTTTTTTTCCGATTGTTTAAAATCTGTTTGATTTTAATTTTTGTTCAATTGTTTTTATTGGATATCTTAATCAGTGTTTTGCTTGTTAATTGGGTTTCAATCATCAATCCTCTCTTTGTCACAATCGAGAAAGTTTTCTTGTTCACTCTCTCTTTGAAAAATGATTTTCTGTTAAAAGGCATTTTCTTGAATATTTAAAAATACACCTTTTATCTTTCAAAAAAAAAAAAAAGAATCTACACCTTTTAATCTATTTTCACAATCATATTATTTGGAGTTATTACATCTTTCAATAATTGATTTGGCTATTGGATACCTCAATAAGTTACAAATAAATCAAGTGATAAAAAAAAAAACACCATTCTCAATCTTTTTCGCATTATAAATTTTATATTCATTATACATCCACTACTTCATAGTTACGTCCTATATAAGCAGTCAACTTTCATTTTCAGAATACATACGTACAAGCATAGATTATTATGTGACGGCTAATTAATTAAAATAACGATAGTATCACAATCACTAGTTGAAAATAATGCATTAGAAATTAAGATTAGATTATCAATATTACTCTTACTAGTAATTATATAGGGCCCAATTGATCATCTCAGGAAATGATGGTTTTGGAATTATGTAGTACAATAATGACGACATCCTGTGCACACTCTTTCCATTATTTTGGCTGATATTCTACCATTTCAAATCTAAATATAGGATTCCTCGTTTACTCCACCTTAACCACCAAATACAATAGAAAACCATGTTGTCTAGAGCATTATGCTGCTATATTTCCTTTCCATTTGATCAATTTCTTACAACTTCAATAGAAAATTCTACATGTAATTGTGAGTATGTAACACAAAACCTTGGTATAGACATCTTATTAAAGTATAAAATCGCGGCGATTTTATCCATTTTAATAGCAAGTGCTATAGGTGTTACATTTCCTATAGTAGGGAAGAATTTTCCCATTTTACACCCGCAGAGTAAATTGTTCTTCTTGATCAAGTCATTCGCGGCAGGGGTAATTTTGTCCACGGGTTTTATCCATATATTACCTGATGCCTTTGAAGACCTTAACAGCCCTACACTTAAGGACACCCCTTGGGGTAAGTTCCCCTTCACTGGCCTTGCGGCCATGGTTGGGGCGCTTGGGTCATTGATGATAGATGCTATCGCCACGGGGCATTATCGTAGGGCCCACTTCGGTGAGCATTCGGGTTCGGCTGATGGGGTTGTTGTGGAGGAGACAAGTGAGGAGCATGCTGGTCATGTTCATCTTCACACCCATGCTACACATGGTCATGCTCATGGTCCTGGTCCATTGGAAGCGAACTTGGATGGTTTGACTGACTTTGATCGTATCAGATATAAGATTACTTCACAGGTAACTTTTTCAACTGTTCCATTGATTTTCAATCTAGCTAGCATATCATTACTTATAATGCTATAATAATTACAATTGATGAAGTTGGTAGCTTTTACTAGTAGCTGTCAAGTTGTTTTTGCAATTGTGCGATAAGATTAGGTCAAATTCCGTCTGCATCATTTGTACATATCGCCTAATACTCGAATAGGTTAGAGTGGACCATAGTTTTCAGTAGGGAAGGATAAGGCCTAAAGTGGAAAAGGGGGGTACTTTGGTGCTTTGTGGTCCCCAAATGACAAACCAATTTGTCAAGAAAATTACATTAAGTACAATTTCTTGGTAATTATATTACTCATAATTTGACAGAAATTTACTTAAATATTGCCTTGCAGTTAATCAAATTGGCAAATAAGTTCGATTTATAGAGCACATATAATGATGTGATGACTAATGTCTAATGGTTCTTTGCTTATGTACATTTAGGGGAGGGAAACTAGCTAAACTTATGCTTATGTACATTTAGAGTTCTCGAGTAGCTTCTAATGTAGATGATATGTATTCTTGCTGATATATATTCAGGTACTGGAGATGGGAATTGTAGTTCACTCAATTATCATTGGCATATCACTAGGTACGTCTCAGAGCCTTGACACGATCAAGCCTCTCATCGTAGCATTGTGTTTCCATCAGTTTTTCGAAGGCATTGGACTTGGTGGTTGCATTGCACAGGTATGAAGAAGTTCAAAAAAACTTCGTCTCTATTTTTTGTTCCTTCATTTTTCTGACAACAGTTGGATAGGCTGAACTGTCATGTATAAAATTGAAAATCGAATTTGTGACAATAAGAATGAGCCCTGAAGAAAAGTTGTAACACGTTTATCCTTACATGATGGTCATTAACAAGTTAAGCTATTGCTATAAGAATTATAATAGGTTTGATTATCAGAAATGACCTCTCTGCCTCTGAATTTGTCTGCTGGTTTGATGGGATTGAAGGACTTATGTTGTAAATTAGTAACCAGCAACTTGCTAACCTTTCAATCTTTTTCGAAGAATCTTGTGCTTTATTAGCAAGCCTCGTTACCTTCCATTCGAGCTAATAGAAGATTAGAATCAGATTCAACAACGATGTGATTTTCTTAAGCCCTCACCTTCAACATAAAACCACTTTATCTCAAAATAGGATTTGCCTGCCAAAAATTTGCATTTAGTATGCAAATTTTGTATCTGTTGGTTGCTATTAGAGGGAATCAGCTTCCATTCTATTTTGTGTTAAGCATAATCTACCAAGCCTAGATCGAGCTAATCTTTTGTCATATCAGCTTCTTTAAAGCCTTAAATTTTGTCATAAAATTTAGTAACCCTGACAAGAAGCTAATCTGAAGACCACATACTTCCTATGTTTTGCAGGCAGCTTTCAAATCTGGATCCACATTGTGCATGGCTTTATTTTTCTCCCTCACAACTCCAGTGGGAGTAGCAATTGGTTTCGGAATTACAAATGTTTACGATGATAGCAGTCCAACAGCTTTAGTCGTGCAAGGATTGCTAAACTCAGTCGCTGGTGGAATATTGATTTACATGGCTCTTGTCGATCTTCTAGCTCAAGATTTCATGAACTCAAAGGTGCAGACCAACACTAGGCTCTTCTTTGGCGCCAATGTAACCTTGCTTCTTGGTGCCGGGATCATGGCCCTCTTGGCAATATGGGCTTAATTTTTTCCCTACACATAGTTTAATAAAAGCACTGCGCTACATATAGATGTATTGATTCATTGATTGTTTTTTTTTCCTTTTTCTTCCTTTGATTGGGGTTGATTATAGTAATTCTACATTGATGTTATCAACAAGGCATGATTTTTTGCTGCAAGTTGAATATAATCCCTACATCTTCAGTTACACGTTACACTAATAAAAATCATAATTAACTAAGTTTGCATACTACATAATATACTTGATTCCAAATTTCCAACACAAATCTGCTATGTATTGCAGGATTTAGCCCTTTAGGTAGCCTATATTTCTGGTATGTGACTGAAGCTACCTAAATTTGTTAAACTAGTCCAAAATTGAACAACTGTATCGCGAACCACATAACAATCTATATGTTCGGGATAGTGCTTTGTGGAGGTATTTCCGAAGCACTTGTTTGATTATTTCGCTAGAGTTTAGGTTGAGAGTAATCAGTTTTTCATAGATATGATTCGTAATTGTTTAATGTAACACATTTCAAGGTGATGATTCTACTACGGAGTACTCGTATGTCTTTAAGCAAATACAAAAGTTGTTCCTTTTGTTTGGTCTAACACAGAATCTAAAGGGTCCGAATTTAAGGACAAAATGATAAATTTACAACCTTTAATTTAATATTGTTATGTAGAATATTTTTTCTCTGAAAAATAATTGGTTTTTTAATTAGTCCTTTTGTCAGATGCTGAGCTTGCCAGATCCTATAAAATCCACCTTGATTAGTCGTGTTCACATGCGTGGTTGGTGCTAATATATATATATATATATATATATATATATATATATATATATATATATATTTTTTTTTTTTGCATTATTTCTATTTTTTTTTAAATGCATTATTTCTATATTTAGTTACTTTATACTATATTTTATCATTCCGCTCTCTTACTTTAAACCCCACTCAAATTATTTTATCATTTCTCTCTCTTTCAGGGTCCCCACTTAAATAATAAAAATATATTTTTTCTCTCTCACATATTTTCTCTTTCATTGTCCCCATCTTACTTTTACTATAATAATTTATTCACTCACTCACTATATTATATTACTCTCCTAAAACTCTGTGCATTCCAAAGTGATGCAAATAAAAAAAGAGGGAGTATTTTTTAATCAGTGATTAGTACTTACTTTGTTTATTTTTAGTTGATATATTTCTTTAATCACGTTTGCCAATGCATAATTTCAACCATTCATATCTTTAATTACCGATAAGCAAAAATTATGAAAATTGATATTTTGAAAATATATATCAAGATCTCACGTGACTATATTTTTCATTACATATAAAGCACAAAACACGGTCAAGGAGGAGTGTGTGAATAGTGTTAAAGTCAAAACATGTCAACTAAAAAAACGGAGGTAGTATATACGTAGTATAACGGCAAGCAAATCAATATTTGAGGCCAACATTATATGATGATACAGTCGTTGAATTCAACAAGTTTTCTTAATGAATTTTTTTTTTAATCTGATTTGTGGTGAGATTAATGCTTATTTGGAGTCGTCACTTCGATGATTAGCCAGATAAAACTGGGGATGCAAATCGGGCATAAACTATTACCCAACTCAAGCAAATAAGGCCTTACACCAAACAATAAGATCACATGACGAAAGTCCACAAATCAACGAGAAGGAGATTAAGTATTGAAAACTATATTGTTGCGTTTAAAGAGACTTATCAATGTAACAAGGATTTAATCCCTTCGATCCTAAATAATACTTTGTGCAAAGTACAAAGTAACTCGTAGATCGTCTTTTGGGAATAGAATTTAAGAAAAAGAGTTAAAATAACACGGTCTTCTTTAATTTTTACTAGTACATGCATTTCTATGCATGGTATCAATAAACAAAAATAGTCATTATCTGAATTTTTAAAATCTTGGGGTGGGGGGGGGTGGTTGATTTACACTCCATTTAAGATGGGTGATGGTAAGTTGGTAAAATTACGTGTAAATATGTAATATGAGAAATTTAAAAGTTAATTATTTCTAAATATAGATATGTTTGGACATGAATTTTTAAATTGGGCAAAATTAACAAGCACTAGATTCCTTGTTAATACAAATGTTATACCAAATAAAATAAGAATATCTCGACAATTAACTATTTTACAAGTGATGAACCTAAGCTAATACACGCTTTTCAACACATTTCACTGCTAATAACATTTACTTTGATAACTTAACATGTGTCCATGAACACACGTCAGACAAACCGTTATGTACAACACGAAATTACTCGACTTAAGTATTCAATCTAGTTTATGTTGCAAACTAGACATACTTGACTAGTTGTTAGCACTACTAGTCACCCCAAACAAAATCAAATCAAACAAAACAATCCTAATTAAATTCAATCTAGGTTGGCTAAATACTAATCAAACATAGTTACATATATATCATCATATCAAATGCAATCTTAGGTAAGTATATACCCCTCGAGGGAAACGAGTTGATCCAAGCACCAAATCTTCCAATTTTCATCAAAAATACACATATTTTGATTTTATTTTCTTGCTAAAAATATTCAAAATAATTACATTATAAATATTTTTATACACATTTTTTTTCCAACCAACGTCCTCATTTTCCACGAGGTCGGGCAGCATAGACTATAAATACAGAGTAGAAAACAACGAGTAAACCATGTCAATTCATCACACTAATCTTCACTTTCTCTCTCCTCAAAAACCAGAGATCTCATCATATTCTCTCTCTTCTTCTTCTTCTTATCAATTTCATCGATCGATTAATTTTCTCAGAAATCGATTAATTTTCTCAGAGATCTTCAACAATGGCGGCGGAAAAGAGTTGGGTGAGGTTAGTGACGGCGCAAACGCCGACGAACATTGCAGTGATTAAGTACTGGGGAAAGAGAGATGAAACCCTAATTTTGCCGATTAATGATAGTTTGAGTGTTACTCTTGATCCTAATCATCTTTGTACTACTACTACTGTTGCTGTTTCTCCTGCATTTCATCAAGATCGTATGTGGCTCAATGGCAAGGTATTGCTATGATTTTATTGTTATTGTTGGAAAGTTGAGCTTTCTGGTATTAAAGTGTAATTTTTTGCAAATTCTTGTGTTAATTGAAGAAAAATTGAAATTTGCAAAAAATTGGTAATCATATTACTAATAGCTGGCAAATTTTGCATATGAAATTTGTATGATTTGAGTAATAATTTGCAAGTGTTTTTTTTTTAATTGCTGTAAATTAGAGCTATTTGGAATTAATGTGTGTAATCATTTGGCTTGTGTGTTGATTGAAGAGTAATTGATAGTGATATTTATAGTTGGTTAGTTTTGCATTTGAAATTTGTATGATTCACATATGATTGCAGAAATCTTAATTTGTTTCAAATGTACCAAATTTTTTGAATTAGGATAGGTATTAGTGTGATCAGAGCCTTTTTTTTTTTTTTAATTAACATTAGCCTTAATATTTTTTTAGCTCAAATTATCATTTGAAAATTGTATGATTTGATGGTGTTGCAACTATGAGTGTATAATGTTTGGTAAATAGTAATTGCATAGAGTTTGATTTTCTTGATCGCAAGTTGCATCATTTAATGTAATAGTTACATTTATTCTAGAAAAAGAAGCTCAATTTTTGTTGTATTGGTCTTCTTTTTGGGTTAGTGTAGGAGATTTCCCTAGCTGGAGATAGATTCCAAAATTGTCTGAGAGAAATTCGTAAACGTGCTAATGATGTTGAAGAGGAGGAGAAAGGCATTAAAATAGCTAAGAAGGATTGGGAAAATTTACATGTGCATATTGCTTCATACAATAACTTCCCCACTGCTGCTGGGCTCGCTTCTTCAGCTGCTGGTTTGGCTTGCCTTGGTAATTTCTGATGTTTCTTGGAAATCATTTCTACTTTATGATAATCTGTTGTTTGGTTCACAGTTCATCTTCTGTATTCCCTACGGTCTTAAATGGTATGAGTATGTGACATTTCTAGTTTGGGCTTTTGTTTTTTGTAGATTTAGTTAGTTGAAGTTAATTTTCCTTATCACAATTCAGGGGGTTGTCTATGTTAGTGAATATGGGGTTTGGAATGGGAGTCCAAATCATATTAAGTGGGCATTTCTATTTTTATTTTACGGAATTGGGATGGGAGCTTGGAAACAATGTTTATATGAAAAGACCAAATTGCCATTCAGTAAATGAGAAAAGAGGCTAGTTGTAGATACTACTTATTGCATTTTCAGTCACCCCTTCCCCTTCCCCTTCCCACCCTTTAATTTTCCAAGTCTCATTTCCTTTATTCAAACACCCTGTTAAGGTTACCCTTATGAAGGGTTCCACGTAATGACCACGTGAAGTTTAAAGCGAAGGATGGATATAATAAATTTATGCAAGTTTCTTAGAAATAATATTGATATGATGTGGCCTATCATTTAGGGAGGGAGGAAGTATTTGATTCCAATTCTACCTTAAGCTCATTTCCATGCATGTTTATTGAATGTTTCCCCTCACGGCTATTAGTTATTTTTAGACTTTCTAATGTTTTCCTTTAGATAGACTTCTAAGAATCTAATTGTACTAAAAGTCAGTTATGTCTATGTTCGCAGTTTTTTCTCTAGCAAAACTCATGAATTTAAAGGAAGATCAAGCACAGCTTTCTGCCATAGCAAGGTATTCAATCTATTTTGAGGTGCTACATTTTGCATGTACATCTAAGACAGCTATGATATATGTGGCTCTGTTCTACAGAGTATTTATTATGAATGTGCAACAAAATATTTTAATTATTGCTTGAATTGTTAATTTGTAAATTAAATATTTTACAGACAAGGTTCTGGTAGTGCTTGTCGCAGCTTACATGGTGGTTTTGTCAAGTGGATCATGGGAAACGTAAGCTCTTGTTATAATTATTCTTTCTTTCCTGCTGGCCTATCTTAAATGTCTTGCTTGGATTTCTACAAATACATAGAAACGTTTTTAATGGTATACTACTTTTATCATCCTAGCTATCTTTTCAATCAATTAATCAATCAATCAAAGCCTATCTTTTCCCAAAGCTAAATTCTATGTTACTCGAGCACCTATGTCTGAGTTACATAGTTGAAAGAAAAGTGGGAAGCATGAGGAATTATCTTTTAGTTGAACAGATAATGGACCCCTAGACTGTCAATTAGAAAGTTGCTAATTTTAAACCCTAACAATTACTGTAAAATGGAGGGGCTATGTCATTTCTTATAACACTTGGCTGGACTGTCAAGCTACAAACAGACTGTGAGTTTAAAAGCTTTAGGGCAGTAAAAATTGAGACAGCCCTGAAGAATAAGTTAGAAAACCATATTGAAATTAGAGGATTGTTTACTTATGTAGTTATGTCAAGAGGAAACATTTTTACTTTCATGTGATTTAATAGTGTTGGTGTGGATTACATGTAGAATGATGATGGAAGCGACAGTTTTGCAGTTCAAGTCACAGATGAGAAGCACTGGGATGATCTTGTCATTTTGATTGCTGTGGTATGTAATATTCTTTGAGTGGTCATTACTATAACCATGCTTGTTCTGAAAAGTGTTATTCAAGTTACTGTTTCTTGATTTTTCTCTCTTTGGTTGAACCTGTGGACATTATATTGGTTAATTTTAACCAGCTTTTCTCGCCATTAGCTTCTCCATCAAAATCTGCTGTTTGTATATAGTCTGCTCTGACCTGAGATGAAACTTTTGATATAAATATGTGCAAAATGCTTGTCTTTCTGCATGTTTGCTTATGGTGTGTTCCTTGCAAGTATGCTATGCAAACTAAAGCCTTACTTTCTGTTGATTTGGCATCTTCCATATGTTTGTATATTGAACTCTTCTGTTCCAATTATAGGTCTTTGCTTACACAATCTATGAAATAATCCCGATCATATACTATACAGGTAAGCTCTCGGCAAAAAGAGACAAGCAGTACATCTGGGATGCGTGAGAGTGTTGAGACAAGCTTGCTGCTGAAGCACAGAGCACAGGTACTTGACTTCTTCATTTCAGTCACCAGATTTGTGTAGGGATTCTAGCAAGACCCATATCACCACCTTACTTCTCCTAGTGCACAGTAGAATTTTGGCAATAAGAAACCATATTGATGAAGAAAATTCCAGAAATCCAATTGTTTAGTGGTCTATAAAGTTTGTTTTAGCAGGGAGTTGTAAAACCTTTCAATCAACATCATTGCATCATTAGAATTAAATAATGTTAAATAAGTATCTAGATGTCTGACATGTTACCAAAGTGCTTCAGCTCCCTTCATTCTCTAGTAACTGGTGCTGAAGCTTCTGTTTCTTGTAAACTGCTTATTTTTCTTAGTTAGGAGAAAGGCTATGCAAATTTTCTCAGTGACTTTTATTTCCCTGCCAATGGTGGGTACCACCACCCTGTTTGGTGGTGTTATCACTAATGTCTATATGTACTTTCCAAGTCTCTCAGTTCTGTGTTTACCCCTTTCTACTCCCTCACCGCCTTTAAAAATGATCTATTGATCATTGTTTACCACTGTTTAGTTACTTTTAGTGGTTGATTATCTTATGTATTCATGTGTCATTTGACACCTGTGTACTACAATTGTTGTAGGAAATAGTACCGAAGCGCATGATTCAGATGGAAGAAGCCATTAAAAATAAAGATTTTCCCTCTTTTGCTCGTCTTGCTTGTGCTGATAGCAACCAATTCCATGCTACTTGCCTGGACACAACTCCTCCTATATTTTACATGAATGACACATCTCATAAGTAAGTTCCCTGTTGCTTGGTCTTTCAATTAGTAGTATGTTAAGCTTACTATTTATCAATCTGAACACGTTATCACATAATTATATGAATTCAGGATTATTAGCATTGTGGAGAAGTGGAATCGTGCTGAAACAACACCTCAGGTTTGTCTTCTGGCCACATTCTTATATTCCTATTTGAGACAGCTTGAATGCTGCATGCACTAGAAAGTGGCAATACTTACACAGTTTTTCAAAATTTGTTTTTCTGATGTTTACGATCTGAAATTGTTGATATATGTTGGAGGATAATTACATTTATTGTCTATAGGGATTACAAATATGTGTTGTGTGTCGTCTCTGTCTTGGAATACCAAAAAGACTTAATCACTTGATAAGAATTATCCAGAAGGAATATAAAAACCTAAACGTTTATGCTGTTATCGTGTTGTCTTGGTGATTCCTTAATTTGCTGTGAACAAATTCAAACACTTTAAGGTACAATGGAAGATGTGTTTTTTAATCTTGTGGATGAAAATTTGGTACAGAAGGGTAAATTGCATTATAATATATGAAAATAATGGAAATGTGCAACAGGGTATGAATCAAAACAAAATTCTTGGTATGCTTGTTTTACCCTGATAAAAAACTTCTTATAATGTTTTTATGGGGAAAGCTAATATGGAGGGACCTGACTGTCCTCTAACTGATACATGATCTTTGGCTAGCAATGTTAAAGCTAAATTTTGCCAAGTTTAGGAATAGCTATGTTGCTGATTTGAAAGGATAGATAGAATTTGGAAAATAGTCTTTGTGCCTTCACAGATGACAAACTGGATTATCTAATGTTTTACTTCGTAGGTTGTAACTCAAATAGCCATTTTGTCAGCTTTGATTGTATATCTGCATCCAACCCTTAACTTTGACATTGCCCCTCTCTGTATTAGAGAAATTACACGTAAATGTGATCTGAAAACCTGAATGTGTCACATGAATGTCAACTATTATTGTAGTTTGCATGATCTTTGGGATCATTGAGCCACTAAAAAGCCTAGCAAAAATTTTACCTTGCTATCTGCAGTTTTTTCAGTGGAATTCAATAAGAATTGGTGGTTGAACTCTAATTGTAGAGTTCAGCTCTGTTATTTAACACAGTTCAATGAATGTGTTTAGTTTGTATAAAAGCCATATTTGACCCGGATGTTTTCGGGCTGCCCTCATTTTAACTGCATCGACTTGTTGGTTATCAGTTGCCACTTAGGAACGCTAAGAATTGCTGTAGAGAGCTAGGGACTGTGCCTTTATCTCTTTGGCTTAGCTTGGCTTTGGCTTTGGCTTTTTTTTTTTGTCAAGATGTTTCTAAAATATCTATGTAGGATTGCCCTGGTCATAAAGGCTAAACTGTTCAGCTGATAGTTTGTCTGCTTCAGAACTAAGTGATCATCTATTTGCATATTTCTTATTTTCTTGTGAGGCTGTTGTGTAATATTTTCACTATAGCTGTTTTGTTAAGAAAATTTACATTGGTTTGGCTTTATCTACAATATTTTAATATCTAGAAAATTGGCAGGTGGCATATACTTTTGATGCAGGACCAAATGCTGTCCTAATTGCACGTGACAGAAAGACTGCTTCTCTGCTTTTGCGACGGATGCTTTTTCACTTCCCCCCTGGTGCCGATGTTGATCTGAATAGGTAATGTACTTGCTAGATCAGTAGATTGACTATGTTATGAAGCAACCATCATTTTATTCTTGTGGGAATAGCTTATCGATTTCACTAATCTAAACCTTGTTTGTGTTCTGTAGCTATGTTCTTGGTGATAAGTCTATTCTTCAAGATGCTGGGATTAAAGACATGGAAGATGTGAAGTCCCTGCCATCACCTCCAGAAATCAAGGATGTCAACTCCAACCAGAAGTATGCTGGAGACGTTAGTTACTTTATATGTACAAGACCTGGACAAGGCCCTATTGTGCTATCAGATGAAAGTCAGGCTCTTCTTAATCCAGAAACAGGGTTGCCAAAGTGAAGATGCTACGCTCTCCTTCCTTCCACAAATATGGTTTGTTGGCCTTCTAAACACTTGTTATGTTAAAAATCATTCGTTGGACATGACAAAGAAGTAGCAATTTCACATGTATCTCTTGATCACAAGCTATTTGTTCGAAGGAACAAGTAGCACTGTGAAGTTCTCTCACGTGAGCCTCATGCTGCTATAATATTTGATTTAGGCATTGTAGTGTATGCTCTTTTAGGGTGAAACAAATTAGGATTTGAGATTTTTATCCTGTATTGAGGTTTGGATGTTGAATCATGGCCATGAGAGAATTTGTTTATGATTGATTTTTTTAGTTTATGCTATTTTAGGGTGAAATAATTTAGGATTTGAGAATTTGTATTCTTCCACAAAATGAAAAGAGTACTGTGAGGAGGGTGCCTAATTACAAAACAATAAGATTGAGAAACTGTTTATTTATAATCGATCACCCATATGGGAAACAATGTCACAAATTACAGCTTAATTCAAAACCTGAAGAAGTAAAGAACCATAATCATATTATACATTAATGATCTCTCTATATTAAGCTTGATAGGGTTTTTCAAGAAGGCACAATAGCTAAGTAGCTGGGCATACAATTAGATCATTCTCGAAATTTGGCGGAGTTGCAAGTATTGGATTTTTGCTGAAAAAGTTAACAGGTTTTAAATCAAAACCTGAAGTAACTGTTGGCATGACGGGAAAATCCTCTTGACATGGTATGTGATGGAAGCCTAAGATGTACCAAAGTACAATATCCTTATTCTCTATAGGTCTGCCCCTGCAAAACTCGAATAATATTTGCAAATTAATTAGGAACCGAATGAATATAACTTATGTTATATACTTTGTACATGTTTACATACCTATTAGACCATGTTGCAAGAGTGTCATCGCCAAACATACGACCCACCAGCCCACAACTCGCTTTGGTTATATGGGGTGACCCATATTTGGTTATTGGTGAATGCCGCCCTCTTTTGAGGCGGATCCTCCAAATCAAGCAAGCTCGCTGCATTAGCACCCGGAACTAGTTTATACCCAACCGGATTTCCAACTTGTGTCTTCTTATTCGGGTTGATGAAATGAAACTCTGATGGCTCATATAGACTAAGTTTGATTTGTGCATCTTTCTCAGTCGTAACAACATTTTTTGTAACTTTTAAGTAACTTTTTCTAGGTGATTTTCCGGGTGAAGTATTTTGTCTTTGGAGATCCACCTTTACAAATGAGTTATTCGAAACATATAAATAGTGTAAAAGTCAAATTGTTCCAAGTATAATAAAACGAAGAGTGAACAATTGGGAGTTGTCTTTATCATATGAATATGTATATAGGACAAAAGATTTCTGTTATGTTGAACACACAGTAAGAAATTAATACTCCGTGGGATTAGGTGGAAATGTGAGAAAAAACATTTCATCATCACAAATTCACAATGGACTGAGTTTGAACCGTCGACGAAGAGCTTGAATCACCACCAGCAAGCTTAATTAGCATTTTGTTAATCAAGCAAAAGTTGAAGATCTTTACATAGCCTCAGGTACTCCTCTAACTAATTACAGATGATTTTTGCTAAGCTACGAGCAACTAACATGGACTCAATTCAAGAAGCAGGATAACAGGGGAGTATTCTTAAACACGCTAACATTTATTTACCAATAATTCAATTCAAGAAGCAGGATAACAGGGGAGTATTCATTTTGATTTTAGATAGATTATTCCTTTTACTTTACTTTCTTACAAAAAAAATCTCATAAACTTTCAAAGCAGCAGTATCAATCGTTCAACAATAGCAACAACGACCAACGGAGCAGCTAGCAAGAAGAAAAGCAAAATGAAGGACGTCAAAATGAAATTATAGATATATTCGCTATCAAAATGAACAAGGATCTAAGGACTACTTCCTTTTTCATTGTAATTCTTGTTGGTGATCGGGTATGTTTCGATTATAATTAAGAAATCATAGAGTTCGCTGTAGGTTTATTGCATATTTCAAAAAACACTAGGAAATCATGATGTTGTGAGTTACGCGGTATGTAGTATGCATATATAAATATGTGTTTAATTTGTATTAAGAGTATAATAGACTAACTATAAAACAAATTGATATCAGGTGACATGGATTACATCGCTCGCTACGACAAGCTCATCAGGAGGAGCCATAGTTCTATATGCACACGATAAGGGTAATTGCTTGGAAACACCAGGTCCTTGTGGTATGATCATGGTTTCAATTATAGTTGCCTTCATCAGTTGGATACTTATGACAGTATCTGCCCATATCTTATTTTGGACTTGGGCTTCTATTTGAAACTATGTATGTATACAAATTCTGATCTCTGTTGTGATGATGTAATTAGTATTAAGTGTATTTTTAAACAAATTAGCAGGTTGGATTGTACTCGTATAAATTAGCTAGTACTACGTATTAGTGTTGTATTAATGAAACCTGAGTGGTGAGTCACTGAGTCCATCTGGTGACATGGAATAGTGGGTTACAAAATATGACTAGATGTTTTATGTTTTATATATGTTAATCGGCAAAAAAAATTAATGGCTAAATAATACACTCGTGTCTTTAGTTAAGACACTCTCTTGCAAAGTGAAAGTGCTAAAGCTAAGCAATTGATTTGTAACATACCAAGTATAAATATACAACCCATATAATAGAATATACTACAAGCCCAAAATGTAAGCCCAGTCTCATAATCACTTTATTACACACTATATAGTTACATTTTATTAATTACATATTTAGTTTTATAATTACTAGCGCGGGTAACGCGCGCGATGCATACGCCATTGCTAACCATACCCAAAGAGTTTTTTTTTTTGTTTTGTCTATGTCATAACTTTAGTTGTTGTCGGCGTTAATAAGGGGAAAATACGTATCGAAATATTTTAAATGTATAAATGTTCAAACACACTATTTTTAAGAGTTTAAAAACAATGAGGTATTTAACATTATATCATCATCATTGTTTTTTACAAAGGTTAATTGAAGCGCACTAATTATGGTAATCAGCAGCTTCTGAGGTAAGTTGTTGTTTCTTTCAGTAATCATCATATCCATTTCACAATCTTGCGGTGTTAGGAAGGAAATCAGAATTTTATGTATTGGATCTGGAAACAGAGAAAATAACAAAAAACCCTGTTGCCGTTTTGTTGAATCAAGGTGCTTACACTGTTTGTTTAGGATCCAAGATCTATGTTGTTGGCGGGCAGTCTTTAGAAAGTAGGATCATTCCTAAGTTTATTGTTGGCGATCACCACATTCACTTGGGCGCATCCTGTGCTGAGCTGATCATACCACAGGACGGTAATATACAAACAACTGATATTGATCCTGATACTGATGCTAATGCTGTTGCTCGTAAAGGCGGATTGGTTGTAAAGTCTACTAGGTTTCAAGCTGCTCCTCGTTTGCTGCATCCTCGCTTTGCTCCATATTCGACGGTAGAATATATATACCTTTACACATTCTGATATAGGCCTCCTTGTACAGGTGTTTGATCCTCAAGTTGGAGAGTGGAAGGACTTGCCATTCCTACCATCCTCCGAAAGGCATTAACCTCTTCAGCGTGCTGTGGACTACCTAGCATCATAGGCTTGTAATGCATGTCAAGTGTATTTCTGCCCTCTTTGCTTTTTATCCTGCTACTGCTACTTGGGATTGTCTCGCACATGATTTCTGGCCCTGGTCTCAGGCCCACGACCTTGCTCGACGATGTTATTTACTTTCATAGGCAGAAAAAACCTGATTGCCTTTCTGCCTATGATCTGTCCAGCAAAACTTGTTTGAAGGTTGCGTACTCTGAGTATTTTCCTGCCCCCTATTGCATTGCTGAATTCCTTAGCATGCTTCATTTGGGCAACAATGTTTTGTGCTTGGCCAACTCCTGTAAATCAACCACTCAAGACCAATCTTCAGTTCTTTCTATTCAGAGTCCAACGTACCTCTCCTGAAGAGGTGCTCGTCACTCTTGTTGGTGGCAAGTGCTTTACCTTTGATGGCGAGATCAGAGCCAAACATTACATCCTTCTTTAGGTAATTTCTCCTGTAACACCAAACAACAAGTAGTACTACTATATATTGATATATGTTTTTGGTTCTAGCAGCATCTGTCAATGGAAATAGAATAGAAACATCGGTTTATTTTTGTTGCTAATGTGTATGAATTCACTCCTCGATTACTCAAGTAGTATATCGACCAAGACTTGATCTAGTGGTAAGATTTGACTTCACAACTTAATTTGGGTTGAAAATTGCATGTAATCTTGTTGTTGTGCAACTTTTTTTTGTTAAATGGCCTGATTATAAGGTTATTATTATTGGATGACATACAACTAGATGAAAAAAAATGAAATAATATTATCAGAAAAAACGGTATCACTAGTATATTGCATGTGAGCCATATCATTTACAAAGCCTAATAAAAACTTCCATCTAAAAAATGGTTACATAGCCAAATAAACATAGAACTAGTAGTAGTTTCTCGAGCAACATATATCTCCATCGTTTTTCACCTTCGCCCTGTGCATGTATATGTGATGTCAAGCTTCAAATCAAAGCTTAATTAGTGTACCAACTTAATCTAGTATGCATGTAAAATACTCTGATCTTTTGTCTGGTATAATGGTCACATATACTTTGTATTGGTTTAGAACGTGCAAAAAAGTTTGTCGCGTTATATTGTAAACCTTTGTGAATGTATTCCATATTATTTTTTCTATTATATACTTTTTAAATTAATCTAATTTGTAAAATCATGGTATCCTTCATTATTCAAAGGACAATAAAAATTAGACAAAGGGAGTATATAAATAATAAAGATTGTTCTTGACCATCAAAATTCATACAGAAATGACTGTTCTTGTATTAAGCTTTTGTAAAATGAGTGTATATATTGTATATAAATGTATAATGAATTATTATTACATATTTTCATCAAAGAAAGGAAAAAAATGCCATAAATTTCTTGGCAAACAATGAATTGTGTTTAAAAATATATTTTCTTTGTATCAACTTTATACTTTACCTTCAATTGAAGAAATGAATTTCCTATATATATTGATCCAATTCTTACCACCTAGTAGGAAATAATATGAATGTGTTTTAGCTGGGTAGAAATAACTATACTTTTTGTTGTTGTTGTTGATAATGATGGTGATGATGTGGTTCGTCTGGCTCAAAAATCCGGTCATGGCAACTATGATCACAAGGGTATGGGCAGTCTATCATCTGAAGCTGTCTCCTGTCGTAAAACCAGTCTGCAACTGCCTTTGCTATTCTCTGCAAAGCATAATAATTGACACAAGACTCACTTCAGTTCCCTGTTTTGTTATTCTTCATTAAGTTAGCAAATAACAATTGGATTAAGAAAAAGTAAACCACTTTATACCGTTTTGTGCAAAACTGGGGAGTCATGACTAAACCATGTTTCCTGCAATTCTGTCTGGCAGTGGGCGTAACACGAATTTATGAACAATCCTCTAGATGGTGACTTTCCCAGTTTACTCAGAGCAGTTAAGAACTCGGACCTAAAATCTGATGAAACTAGTAATGTCACAAGATTTTACAGGTATAATATTTGATACAATCAAAGGAAGAACACTAGAACAGCAGAGGTATATTGAAGAGTTCTGTGAACCTTGCATGACAGTAAGCTGATTAGTTGAGCAATTCTTTATGTCAATCTTGCAGTCAGACCAGAAGCCTTGAGGATCGGCTACAACGGGTGCCAAAATGTTCTTTATCTGAACACAATTGAGCCACTTCAATCAGTAAAAGATTGGATTTATCAATACTAAAAGACACCCTTATAAATAATATTACAACTGAATACTTTCTGCAGTATCTACTAATGTTATATGCCAGTAAAACCAAATGATTCTATTTCTTGACTTCTAATTACCATACGAGGCTATTATCATACTATGCGTTAACAGGTTAAGGTCACGATAATCAAAGAGAACAGGATAGTACAAGATTGATATCTCATCTAATTGACATTATTTCAGGCAAAGTTCCAAGCAAGAGAAGAACACCAAACCTGCCATCTATCATATGCTGCATTTAGTATAAAGAGTGGTGTCTTGATCTTTTTTGCCATGTATTGTGGGAAGAAGCACTGAAAAACATCAATTCCGTGCATCAAATAAGACTGAAGAACTGAAGCGATCATGACTTGTTGACTCTAGAGAAAACCAGAAACATGAACTTACCAAATCAGGTCTTAAAGTCCTGGTGCAAGATGCAGGCAAAGTCCTTGCTGAGCCCTGATCATATATGTAGAGAATCAGAAGAAAATGAGAAAAAATTCACAGATATTAACATTAAGTAAAGGGTACATTCCTAATTTAAACTAGTAGAGTATTACATGTAATTTGACTATCTGATCAAAATAAGAAGCAATATGTGATGCTCCGGAGACGTCTTTTCTGTTACATCAAACATAAAGTGTGTCAAGGAAAACAATCCGAAGGCAGGACATGAAAAGAAAAACAGTTTTTGTAAAGGCAGTTTTTGCTTACACATTGATAAAATAGCCAGCATCTGAGAGGCACTTTACCCTAGCACTCACAGGGAGATGAGCTCGAAAGCTATCACAATGTAAAATGGAAGTCAATCCACCAGCTGAACACCCAGAAAGAATAGCCTAATGCAGCAACTTTTTTCAGCAGTCACGACAAACACGTGTATGTAACGCAAAAGAAGCGAGGAAAACACTTAAGCTTAACAATACATAGAGTCATACATTTTTAGCATTTTTCATTCCCTTCAGTAATAAATCCTCAATAACAGCATGCCAAATTCTAGCTCCGCGAAAGTGAAGCTTAGTAATCTATAAACAAAAGAAATTTGAAAAAGAATTCATCAACAAATTCATGTAAATGAAAGCATAAACTAAAGATATGTTAGGTAATAAATTTACAGAATTGACAGCTTCAACGTCTCCTGTAAATGAGGCACCATCACAGTATCGAATTTTAACTCTGTTCCAATTATAAAAATCTGAAGAAAAAAAAAAACAATTTTTAAGTAAGTTCAAGCTTTAAACACAACTATAGACTATAATTCATTGCATGAAAATTGGTGAAACCTGGATTAAACATTGGATTATTGCCCAAAATTCCAGAAAATGCAAGCTGCTTTTCCATTTTCCAGGATGAACCCAAATGAGAGTACTTTCGTTCGAGGCATGTTGTGATATTGTTACACCAACCTCCTCCCTGAATAAGCAAATACAAAGCTGGTAAATCATCCAAACAAATCCATCCTATAAAAACAAGGTGTTTTTGTTTGAACAAGCCAAATTTTATCTCAATATTATATACTAAGCCTAGAAAATCATAATATCACCTCATTAAATTGTGTTTTCTAGAGTTGAATTCATTGAAAATGCTAAAAATGTTACTAGGAAAACTCATTAATATATAGTAGGACTAACCTCAACATGAACCAACCAATTATTAACACCAGTTCCATGTCCTCTATGTAGGTGGTATGCAGGGGCACTACCATCTAAACAAACTGCATAACATTACATTTGACAAACAAATTAGATTGTACAATCACAACAACAAGAATAACAACCACCTAAGATTAAACTTGATAATGCAGCATTTGAGAAGGTCACATATATAATTCTTTCTAAATTTAACAAATTATACAGCCTTCATTGGATACGCTCAAAGTATGACAATTAATTCTGAACAAAGAGTGTTGCACGTAGCACGTAACACAACTTGTACCATGCTACTCACCAGCTCCTTTAGCCACTGCACTTCTGACTTTTGTAATTCCAACATATAAACTTTCTGTTTTCAGAAATACACCCATGAATATTAGAAGCTTCATCCATTGTTGGATTGTTCTGAAGGTCATTCTGCACATTAAAAAATAGACATTGCCAGATTAATATAACTATAAAATAAAATAAAATAAATTCTAAAAAAAATGCTACTCCCACAAAAAGGGATATAAAAGGATATAACTTGCAACAGTAGCACTGACAAAATCAATCTTTCACATGATTGATGTGGTATTGAAATTCCTTAATTTCAACACTGTCAATAACTAACATCATGACATACATATAACTCGAATACGTATGTAACAATAAAAAGGCAGAGGTGATCACAGGTCGAGCCGGACTTTCTCAAAATAAAGCTGGTCCGAAGGGCTAAGTGGTCAGCTAGGCTGGGCCTATCTCCGGACCAGAAATTCTACCCAAACCCGTTATAGTTGGGCCGATTCGGCCTCGAGTCTACCACTAAAATAGCCTAAAATGTACATAGCCCATGCCCATCGACAAAGGAAAGAAATTAAGAAGATGACAAATCAAAACATTCATCACTCAACCCAAAACAGAACCAACAAACCCATTTTACAGAATTAGGTTGTTTTCACATTGTAGAAAGAACTCAATATTCTTTACCAATTCTGTAATTTACCTAAACCCAATATCATCCAAAATCGAACATTATAAAACCCAGAAATTTCCCAGAAAAAACAATAAAAATACAAATAACAACAAACGAAAGATTGAAACTTTATGGTAAAAGACAGAAGATATGACAGTATATAGATGATTAGTATATAGTAATGACAAATATACCTTGAATATTGTAAGAAAAAAATAAAAAAACAGAGGAAAAATAATTACAAAAATAATAATTGTGATTACCAAAAGGGTAAATAAGATTGAGAAAAGTTAAGTATATATATAATGAAGTTGGAAACGGCGGAAAGCTTTGGCAATAAGCCAATTCCAATAGGATAGAGAAAGAGAAAGAGAAAGAGAAAGAGAGAGAAAGATGGTGTACCAAAATAAGAAAGAGACATTGTATTAGAAATGGAATCAGTGCAACACTTTTTCTTTATTTTTTTATTTGTAAGGTTAAAACGTAAGACGATGACATGAGTATAATTTGGGTTTGAATTTTGGTGCAAAAGTGCTTAACCCTATGTTGAGACATTTATTCCTTCTTTAATGGGAAGGGAATAATCAATATTAGCCCCCGTCAAACAATTAAGTATAGACACATTAATGGATTCGTGCTTTTTTTTTTTTTTTTTCTTTTCTTTTTTTACTACGGTTGTAGTATAAGCAGCTATCTTATACGTGTATATAACTAGTAATAATAAAGTAGTTTTGTCTAATTGTAAGAATTAATGGATTAATAACTGTTATGATAAGGACTAAGGGATCAATAACTATTAGCTTAGCAAAAATGGATTCATGTATGTAGCTTTCAAAAGTAATGAGTAAATAAAGAATATACTCGGTAGGAGTAATCCATAAGTTTAAGGCATGAGATATATCATTTTAAATAACATTTTTTCATATTTGATACACCGGTTATCATTTGGATTAGAAGTAATGGAATAATTTCTTATATTTACAGCTAAATAAATGTGTTTATCTTGCCAAGGTGACAACACATATTAAACAGATGAGAAAAATCATGTATCTAATTCGATTTAAAAATTCAGATAAGATATCTCATTTTTCGGGATAAATTTTTTAATCCTAACAAAGATTAAGATAATCATTGACTTATCACTAAGATATTCTTGGTGTTTCCCACCATCAATTAAAGCTATAATTAGTGATTTTGTCCATCTCAAATAAAAACTATAATGTTTGGTTAAAACCCCACAAGATAAACAAGATAAACAACAATACAACAAGGTGGATCAAATAGTATTAGATAATCATCAAATTGTTAAATGGTGATTATGCCTTTTGACATTATTGCACCCAACAAAATTAACAAAACATGCATACATTGCATAGCATAGAAGATTAGAAGCACCAATAAATGCGTGATATATGGGCATATTGGAAATCTGATATCTGCCAGTTGATTCATCAAGTTTTATATGACCAACCTATGTTTTATGGGCCAACCCTTAGGTGGGGCCCTTTCCATATCATATCTTAGTAGTGACATTTTAACGAAATCCTAACTACATTAAGTCAGTTCAAGTTGCAGTTTCAACCACTGCATTTTATGGCCAAAATCACTTGTAAATTACTTCTATAATGTACAATTAAATTTAATATTATTGTAGCATATATTGTAACACTAACTCATTCCGAAACTAGTTATCTCTAGCAATTGTAGTTTGAGATAGGCAAGTTTGAATGAAGGTAGTAACAAGTACAGATTAGAGGAATATATATAGATTTTAAGTTTTATTTGACTCTATTTGACCATTTGTTACATATTGGATATTTATTGTATATGAGGAAGCACTAGACCTCAATAAACATCGATTAGATACAACTTATGGCTACATACATTGTGTAAGATATGTATAAGAAAAATTATAGGAAATAGTTACGATAAACATAAACAACTGTAACAACTTGATAAAGATAACGACAAGGTAACTTGATAAAGATAACGACAAAGTTGGCAGCATCAATATTATATACAAAAAATAATGACAAAAAAGTAATCACTATTACCCTTGCTACTTGCTTTACTAAATATTCAAATTGATCCAATACATCTAATTACACACCACACCATTACAATCACTATCACCATCACTATTAACCTAGTGTCAATCATATGAGCAATTGAGCATTCAAGCATTAATGTGGAAGATATGTAAGTAGTGAGCTAATTGGATACTCAAGTTTGGGATACATCTACATGATATCTCCTTTCAAAGTACCATGTGCCTTGTTTTTATAACATTAAACATCTTCAAAGAAAAAAGGACTTTTGATACAATACAACCCATTCGATCTTTTGCCTAATACAACTTCATGAAAGCACTATAAAGCTATTTTTGTCACCTAATTATTATGGGACTTTAAATTATATGCTTTTATTTACAAAATACCTTTTTAACAAGTGTCTTTCGCAAAATTTCTTCAAAAGTAAAGTGTCATTCACAAATTATTCTTAAAGTTATGATTTTCAGCATAAAGTTCAATTATCCATTTTTTTCATATAATATAAATCCAAATAGATCAAATAATGTATAGTGGTACATGATGAATGATAACTTAAGTATACAATTACAAGACACTTTCACTTATTGTACAGCTTAGTTGCCTGCCTTTGCCTAAAATTATATATGATCAGCTTGATACATATATTAGACATGCTTATGCATACATGATTGTGATGAAATATGTTGTGTTTAGTATAACTTCTTGATCCATGGAGTTGTATCTTGTATCCAGTAATATAAGAGATGATTCTATGTATATTATTCGAACACACGGTTGTGACAAGTTTTGTCACAAGGGTAGGGGCAATCGATCTTCTGAAATGGTTTCCGATCATAGAACCAGTCGCCCACTGCTTTTGCAATAGTCTGCAAGAATATAAGGTTGAGAAAAATGTTATGATGAACAAGTATCATTAAATGAGAATTACGCACTTTTGTCCAAAATTAGTTGCCACATTATCGTAACTTCTAGTAAAATTAGGATACATTATCAATTTACTAACGTAATATACCATGCATAATAGTTGTGTTATGTCTATTTCTCCTTATCTTTTCTTATGCAAGAACCTAGCTTTTCGGAAAAATGATCATATAAGCCATAATTTTTAATAGAATTTTTTTTTAGTATCCTTAAATAATATAGGTGACTAATAGTTAGTTTTAGACTATGCGATTATATATAAACAGGGGAGTCTGAGTCTCATCATACCGTGCCATCTAACAAGGGAGAGTCATCCCTTAGCCATGTCTCTTGGGTTCCTGATTGGCAATGGCTGTAGCAAGAGTTGATATACCACCCCCTAGAGGGTGAGTTGCCGAGGGATGATAACGCGGCTAGGAAGTTTTGCCTAAAGCCTGAAACATTGTACAAAGTTCAAGTTTATAATTGTGTCAATCTATAACTAATAGTCAATCATTATTTATTAGTACATCAAAGATAATGCTTTTGTAAGAAAGTAAATTCATTAGCTTAATCTGCTTATTTCTTTCTCTACATCTCTTGATTGGTTTCTAATACTTGAGTTTGTTCCAATTTTTATTTAGTATATCTGAGTTACTTACCATGCATTGTTTGGAGCTGACTGTCTGAACACTTGAGTATATCAGCCTTGCAGTCGCGCCATGTCCCATGACGATCAGCAACACCTGGTGCCAACGTATTCTTTATCTGCAGCAGTAAAATCATCCTGAATTTAATTCAATGACTTTGGCTTCCTTATAAACCATGATTGTCTTAACTTAAGTCCCTTGTTCGAACTTATTTTGGTGTGAACTGAGCTTAACTATCCCTTATATGTACTTATACAGTTACTCTTCATGAAACTTATACATTACGACATTTTTTCTAAGGCAATGCATATGAATATTGTACTTGTTTTAGGTAGTTGCTACTTTTGCCTATCTTTCTACATTAGGAATCCTTCGAACACATGGTTTGGAGAAGTTATTTTCACACAGATTTACATTCCACAATAAAATCAATTCACCAGTCATTTTCTAAGAAAGTGTATAGGATGCTTTTGATTTCTACTTTATATCACATGCCCTTGTTCAATTATTAGCTCAGCATAAAAGTTCACAATTATAATACATATCAAAATGACTTTCAAAGATGATCACATCAAATAGATTTCGTGCAACATTTAAGATTTTTTTTTTTTTTTTAATTGGCTCCCAAGTGTACCTTTCACAATTAGAATACAGATGAGGAGAACTGAAAAATACGAAGTATATATGAGCAAACCTGCCATGAATCATAAGCTGCATTCAGTAAAAACAGCGGTGTTTGGATCCCCCTTGCAGCATACTCAGGGAAGAAGCACTGAAAAATGGTTGATACTTTAGTCCTTTTATTAAAAATACTAAAGCTAATACATACCTTGCTTAAGAAAAATCAATTATGCTTACCAGTTTAGGATCGAATTTAGAGGTGCAGGATGTAGGCAAGTTTTTCGCAGATCCCTAACATAAAAACACGAACAATAAAATTCTATCAAAAATGAAAATAAAATTCAACTTTAATCTGTTTAACAAACTTCGGGATGGAGAGAACAATACATGTGTAGTGACAACGTCAGCAAATACTTCTTGAATATGTGATTCTCCAGAGATATCCTTGCTGTAAAAAATGACCAATTTCAGTCAGTTTTCAGAAAAAAATTCAGAAAACTAATGTGAAATGGTTAAAGAGATTTCAAGAATCCTACGCGTTAATGAAGAAACCGGCATCAGAGAAACATTTCACTTTGGCACCGGAAGGTAGCATAGCTCGGAAGTTATCACATTGCAGTATGGCACCTAGTCCACCAGCAGAGCACCCACCAAAAATTGCCTGCATTTACCAAATTTTTAAAGTTTCTTAGAGTATCAGTAGTAATTTGTAATGCACAAATGTCAATCATAATAAAATCATACATTTTTAGCATTCTTCATTCCTTTAGCTAATAAATCATCCAAAATTGCCCTCAAAAGTCTAGCTCCTCTGTAGTAAACCTTAGCCTTCTGCTCATTATGACATCGAAAAAATTCAAATTAAATTGTTACAAAATACGAAATATACATCATAAATAAGTTTGGACAATGATATAGTTGAAGTTTTAGAATTTACATACTGGATCAACAGCTTCAACATCTCCAGTGTAAGATGATCCATCACAGTATCGGACCTTAATTCGATTCCAATTATAGAAGTCTAGCAATCACAATAACGCGTCTTAGAATTATTATTATTAACCATATAATAGAAGCAGAATCAAGAAAGTTATACTACAATCTACGAAGTATATGAATATTATTAGGAAGTGGACATATACTACCAGGACTGTACTTTGCCTTGTTGCTTAGTATCCCTGAGAAAGTATATTGTGTTGTCATTAGCTTAGACGAGCCTAGACGAGTTCTGGTACGCTCTAGGCAAGTCGTTGCATTGTTGCACCATGCTCCTCCCTAGCCAAACAAAAAAAACCCAAGAGAAATTACATATACTACACCAAACATCCTATTACATACATTGTGTATTATAGCACATTGTTACAATTAAAATGAATTGGTGGCCTTTGCAGCTAATGCTATGAGACATTAAGGTTGCGTACATCTAAACCTTCAAAATCGTGATTTTGCATAAGTACTTATTCTTTTAATCTGTCTCGTCATCATCATGTGCTCCATAGCAAGATGCTAGTCTAACCTACTAGTAATTTAGAGGCCTCGTTGTAATAAGGTTGCGTGCATCTAAACATCTAGTACACTATGCATGCTAAAACAACGATATTGTATATGAAATGGTTTTTTTTTTACTTTTTTACATATGTAAATAAATAATTGCCATATAATATAAGGGTACATACCTCCATATGAATCAACCAATTATCAATGCCAGCACCAAATCCCTTGTCAAAATGGTAAGCTGGTGGACTCCCATCCAAGCAAACTGCATAAAATTACGTTTTTCTTACAAATTTAGCTTTATTTAAAAAAAATCTTTATTATTACAATAACACCATCTTACAATGTCACCCTCGCGGGCTCACACATTCCTCTTAATATCGAGAGGAAAGATTTGTATAAAAAGGAGCCAATGGTAAAACTACATTAGCTAATCATCTTAAAGTAACACCACATCGACAATGTTACTATAACAGTAAGTCGGTAACTACGACTCTACAAGTTTAATAAAGCTAGAACAAAAGAGTAAAAGACAGTAAATTCACTTATGACTTACCACCTCCTTTTGCAACAGCATCTTGAACAAAAGTTATTGGAACTTGAAAACCATTCACTCCCAACAACATTAGAACACAAACTAGAAACTGAAACCATATTGAATAACACATCCTGTTTTCACAACAAAAACACAAAACTTGTTAAATTTTCCAATCAAAATTCAAACCAAAAACAAATCTATGCATAATCTATTTCAAAGGAAATTCAAGCTTACTAATATCATAAAAAAGATATTTGAGAAGAAAATTACTAAATTAGCTAAAAAAATTAGTCTTAAATTAAGGTAGAAAAAGTACTTGAAATGAGGTTTGCTTAATGAAGCCATTGGAGCTTAAAGGAACATGTAGTGCTCACTATATAAGGAAGTTGCCTAGAATAATACAAAAAAAAAAAAAAAAAAAAAAAAAAAAAAAAAAAAAAAGATAATAGAGAAGTTCTTTCCTTTACAAAAAGTTAAAGTAGCTAATAGCTATTGGTTTTTAGCTGAGAAGACAAGAATCAAAGATGTAAAATTACAGTAGTATTTTATAATAATCTGTTTTATGGGAAAAAGTCAAATATTTATTAGCTTTTTCTCTGACTTAGGAGTGTGTTAGAAATAAATAAAATGTTACTTATATATACAGTATTTTCAAATTGGTTTTATACTGTATTGGTTGACATTTGTTTGCATTTGCTTCTTTGGGATATTTAAGAAGGATGTATTGGCTATATCTCTTAGTAGGGCTGACTATTACTTATTTAAGATCAGTATTTCCCTATCAATTAGAAGATGTTGAAAATATAGAAATCAACTTTTATGAATGTTAGTAAAATGTCTATAAATTTTACAACTTTGTTATATTCACGTGATTTTACGTACATGAATTACCTTGATAGTTATTAGCAAAACTAAATTTTACCGATCAAAACTAATAACAATTGTATAGAAGCCTGAGGCACCCTCTCTCAATCTCTAATCTAACTCTGCTCCTCACTCAATTAGGCTCGTAAGAACTTTAATTGCTTACTTAAAACTTAGGTACACATGCTTCATATAATCATGTGTCTTAAATTTAGTAGTATTTAATGTGACTTATGGTGAATAATTTGACAAAGTATTAATGGTTTATTGTGGTCCTTTTTGTTTTTTTTTTTTTGGAAAGTGTTTGATATAAAAAGTTAGGCATTCTTAGCTGTGTCAAGAAAAAATTAGGCATTCCATGCATAATAGTTCTACTGTGCCTAATTGTTAACTTAATTTGTAACAAATTTTAAACTTAAAAAAATCTAATTTATTTGTTAAAAAAAATATTACTATAATTATATGTGTTAAAGGTTTGTTTGATTATGAACTTCGAGCGTGATACTTTCAACTGTGAACACGCGTACACAAAAGAGGGATTAAACCTTAAACTAAGGTTAGATAATCACGGATGAAAACTAAAAGCTTTACGTAAAGCATCCAATCTAACAATTAAAAGTGTATGTGTTACTACTAGAAACAAATCACATCCACTTTTATTCAATTTTGGTGGTTGATATCTCTTTCTCTACATACATGGCAATTTTGACAAGGATAGCTAAGAAAACAACCATATAGGTGGACATTGTATTGGATCATATTCGTGTATTTTCCAATTTGCTGTCAACCTTTATTAGGGACTCAATCATAGGGTCGTAGTCATTAGCTGATTAGCTCGTAATTTAATTTTCTAAATTATAATATCAACACGGATATAATGAAGCTAATAATTATGGATTTACATTTGACATATATAAAAGCCAAATTAATGCAAGCATTCAAAAAACTAGTGTCGTAACATATGTATATATGACAAATCAACACAATCACATGTAACTATGTAAGAAAATCACTTTTATGGTTTTCTAACATTCAATTAAAATTATATCCATGGAAATATTATGTTCAATTAGCTCTTCAAACTAAGTTGGAGCCATTGATTGATCATTCCTAGTCGTTAGAGGCTTAGCATAATAAATAACGTCTTTGAACTCATTATGACCAAACACATTAAAAATATTCTCCATAACTTTGCACCCATCTCTCAATTATAGAATAAGAACCCTATTCCGAAAACATATACTCCTTCTTTTTCGTCATGTATTCTTAACCGTTGATCTATCGGACTGACCGAGTAGTTTCGGATAAGCAAACATGAGAGGTTCCATTGGACATGAATGAAGAAAAACAGGGGCAGAAGGTGGGGTGGATTTAGGCACATGGCATGAAGTAATGATAGTATGTGACATTGTTTAACGCGTTAGTACCGACACTCTGCAAGACATGGATATCAGCGCAAATCTACGCCGCCTTAGACTTGACCCTTGTTCTGTTCATTTCCCACCCAGCTGTACATCAATTTTATTCATGCTGCATTTATTTTGTCAACCACTAATCCTTGTTCCCTTTTTTTTCTTTTAAGGAGTATGTTTTTTTTTTTTTTTTTTTTTTTTTTTTTTTTTTTTTTTTGGAGAGTACAGTGTATCAAATTATGAAATTATTAACATTCACTAGAGCTGTTCAAGAATCAAGAGTGGTCTGGCTAAGAATGGCTTAGCTTGGCCCGAAAAACAACCTGGGTTCGCGCAGAAATTTTGGGCCCATTTATTAAAAATTAAACATGCTTTGGGCAGGCATAACAGTCCGTCTTAACCATGCAATGGCTAGAAAAGCCTGCTTTATTCGGTATTGCCGGTCAGGTGACAGATATTCGACCCAAACGCAAGATCGGCTTGATGCATTGGACTAAATTGGTCAAAGCGTGGTCTAACACTTCAAATTAGTCAATTTTCTTCTGTCTAGGACTAACAACCGTGTCTATAGAGCAGTTCAAACAAGAAATGAGACAATTAAAAGGAGTGCAAAAATTTGTCTATATTGTCAAAATCAATTACTGTAGTCTAGCATGGTTTGGAGAAGAATAAATGATCACAAAATTTAATCATGAGAACATGAAAAGGACCCCAGAAGCAAAAGGAACAGGTAGTGTTATTGTGCATGGACTTGAAATTCTGCACCAATGGGAAGGTGATCACTGGGATGCTGATAGTTTGGGAGCCCACCAGCCACAGAGGGAGAGTCTTCATCAGGAAGTTCTAAGAAGCTCACAGGTTGTATGCAACCGGAAGGCGAAAAGAAAATGTAATCCAAAGTACCTGTAAAGCCAGGGGTGCAGTTGGTGAATGCCGGTTCTCCTCTTGTGCAGGCGTAGACACTGCTCAATGGAATGGGCAACTCATCAGGACATTCTACCCTAGACTCCGAGGAAGAGCTGCCGGAAATTAGGTAATTGTACACCTGGCAGGCAAAAGGGAATAAAAATTTAGGTTTTAACCCAATAAGCAGCAGTGCCAGAACTCCAAACTGTTAGGTAAAGTGATAGCAGAAGGAATACAACAAAATTTTCTGAAGAAATTAAAAATGCAAAAGGTAGAAAAGTTGACAAATCCTACCTGATCTCCTGGGGTAGAGTTGAAATCGCCAGTCAAAATAACAGAAGGAATACATTCAAATTTTTCTGAAACTAGAGTTTTGAATTGATCTAAACGCGACAGTAGATATTTAGCTTGAGCTAGCTTAACATCAGCCCATTTTGGATCCCTGGAATAGATGACAGCCATTCAATAATATCAGAGGAATTTCTTTTTCTTGGAGGTAAGAATGCTAGTCAAAGTAGATACATACGAGCCAAAGTAAATCAAATAATCAGAGACTGAAAAATGAGTCAACATACCAATATAAATGTGTATTTGCAATAATAATAAGATGCTGAGAATGATTCTCTAGTCTAAATGCAGCCATAATTCCAACACAATCGCGTTTTAGTCTGACACGAGGATCATTGGGGTCTCCACGATCTTTTTCAGCACCTTTCTCTGTCGAACCTGAAATTCGACAAAACACGCATGTAAATGAAAGTTAAAAAAACCATGAGAAGTAATGATCACATATTTGGTGTGGGTGGATATTAGAAAGAGAGAACCTAATGAAACTACAGCTAAGAAATTAATACTCCGTAGAAGATTCCACGTCTTAATTTCTCCCTCATTAATTTACGTTAAATGTGGAGTAATATAGCCGCAGCAACATTTGGGCGAGAAATCACATTAACAGCCATTTAGGTTCAGAACAGCAAGAGGGATCTCAGATGAAGATTGGGGAATGGATCAGGAAAGATTAGAGGAATAAGGTAATACAGGGGAGTTTAGAAGAAATGGGAAGTAGGGGATTTACCTAAATTGGTAAGTAATTAGAATATCAAGAGAGGACATCATAATTAGAGACAAAAAGAAAAATAATAATAACCTTGGGTTTCTTCAGCATTTGCATTTCCTCCAGCAACTGACACAGCACTATCCATCACTCTACTATTTGTTTCTCCGTCAATAGATTTCACTAGATCATTATATTCAATATTTTCTTGTAAGACCAACTCTGCACTGGAGCACGCCAAAAGCTAAGATAAGGAAATAATATAAAGAGTGATACACAAAATAGAGTAAGGAGTACCAAAAAATGAGATGTAACGTAGGTATATCAGAAAAGCTGCAACACTAAGAAAGATCTTAAAATATAGACTATGACAAAGGCAGAGTTTTTTGCTCAAAGATTAAGGTAAGAACATATTCATCTTTTCTATCCAAAACCCCCCAGTAGCTAGGTGTCCACTCAATTTATGCTGTCAAATATATGCACCATAGTCAGTGCCATTAGAAGAACAGGGCCAACAAGCGGAAAAAATATTTTATGTAAATGTGATCCACAACTAGCATAATCATCACTATAACAAAGATCAATATTGAGCATAGCAAAAAATTAACAGGTGCATGAATTAAATACACTGTATGATACTATGATACCTAGTTTCATGAACTATAAGAAACAATTCCAAAATTTATGTTCATGATATCATGACATCATTTGCCAAAAAAATATGGTCGTGACATCACGTCTACCAACAACCAAACTACATAAAAATTGGACGAAAGTGTTTTCTATGAATTCTGTAATTTTTCCACCACTAAAAAAAGTACTAAGTATTTGTTTAAAAAATTGTTCATGTGACAACAAGCTCAAGTGATTCCAACATTGGATTTTCATAAAACAAGGTGAATTGTGCCAACCTATAAGCTTTTAACTAGCGCTCTCAGTTTTTTTAGCTTTTTTAGCACATTCACCACAACAATACACCATCATGTGGATTGGGTACAACTTATGAGCATTAATAAGTTAATGCTTCATATGGCCGACACTGGACATGCAACTAACAAACTAAAACTTTGTACATAGCAGAAATCAGATACAATAATAGCTTGATCATCTAAGATTAAGGAAAAACATAGGATTCAGACAGCACCATGTACCTGGTCAGCTTATAAAAGATTCCACAACCGTCACGCTTTTGGCCACTCCTTTGGATATAGATGCTTGAGTATCCAAGTCGTTCCATATTGCCTCTATAAAAGCTATCATACTCATCTAACTCCTGATTTGGCCAGAACAACACCAATGTTAACATTGCAGCTTTTAACAGCAGTAGATATAAGAGATAAAACACGAACTATTGTTGTCACAGAGAAGCTAAAGGACCTGTAAGCAGAGAAAGTCGGCATCAAAATCTCCTAGAACAGTTAAAACAGCTTTGGAACGAGCCTTCCATCTGCAAAAACACAAGACCAACCTTCAGTTAAAAGTTACTGCTTGGACTTGGATAAAAGTGTGAGAAATTAATTTTGTTAAAATTAGCACTTACTATAATGCAAGTTCTCTCTCCTTTTGATTTTATCAATCATCATCTATTTCTCAACAAAATCATAGCTATTAGCCATTTGACACCATGCAGCCCTAAAGTTATATCCAGCCCTTATGTTAGATCCATCTATCATGGATAACCCCAGAACAATCAGTCTCAAATTCAGTACTGCCACATTCTTAATTTTATAACTCGTCACATAGAACATAGAAGGAGATTTTATCATCAAGTGCTGAAGCAAAATCATTCAGAACTAGAACTTCAAAAATTAAAAACTATAGATATACATAAAACTGTACAAACAAAAACCCTCCTTGAAAGAAAGTTCACGAGAATACGATAAGAAGCACGTTAAATAAAGCCAATTTGTTTGACATAATACAGTCGAGTATCATGGATCAACACCTAAGGTTAATGGTGACATCAAGGGATATAATAGCACAATTCCTTCAACTTTCTAATGCTGTATAGATGTATTTTATCTGCCACACAGCTCATTATACCCAATTAATCAAAGGAAACAAAATTGATGCACAAATACAAATAGATAATTGAGAAAAAAAATTCGAATATATTGAAAAAATTGGGCATGTACAACAGCATGGATGCATATTATTCACCAACAGATGCAGGATCAAACACCAAATAAATAACCCATAATTCAAACAAATAATATACCTGAGGCAAGGTTTTGGGGAGTGTGGAAAATAGGAACTCTTCACAAATACCTACAAAATGGAATCAAATATAAAATCACACCATGAAATTTGAAAAGACGTTCTAATACCATAACTGTCCTCTCTTACAAGAGGGTAAGCAAGTTAGTAAGATTTACAATTGACATCACCTAATGACATTCCAACCAATCATATAGGTTGACAAACAACTGACTACCAGTCTACCACTACCATTATCTGGAATCACTGCAGGGCCAATAGACACAGCAGTGAGACTGTTCTTTCAACTCTCAATTTCCAGTTCAAAGGGGGGAGGGGGGGGGGGGACACAAACAAATGTAAACTATTTTTGAAGAATGTAGTGAAAGTAGTAGGCAAACAGACATTTAAAAAGACTACAAATTAGTTTTACTTGAAGTATACACAAGAATTATATAATAATTTACAGGAATAAGGAAGACAGTGTCAAGCTGTAAATCTATCAAGAAGAATAATAACTTGTTGATCCTAAGATCTTATTGTAAGTTGAAAATTTTGTCATAATTCCTCTTCTCATAATCCCATGGGAATAGGGTGAGAAGTTCACAGTTCTTACTGATGCACCAGTAGCTCATTTTGGATAAGTATTTATTAAATTTTAGTCAGATTTCTGTAGTACAAGTTCTCCATCAACTTATATAATCTAAATTTTATTCAATACAAAGCAGTAAACAATTATTACATTTTAGATTGAAGGTCTAGTAAAAACAACCTTCCGGTTATCGCAGACTGCATACATCCATTTTGCCCACTACTTTAGAGGAAAGCCTGCTTACAGACATTGGGATTACGTTAAGGTTGATGTTGACGAGGTTCTCCATTAACAAAATGCAAGGTTACTATAGCAAAACATAACATATGCAGTAGTTGTAAGTTATACTAAATGAAACTTCTAGCTCATCAGCAGCTACAAACATAAACAGTAAGCAAAATAGCAAACTTTCACTCAGAAGCTACATTACTCAGACTGGGTAATCATGACCAACAGGAGTTCACGTCCCGGTGTCCGCTTCACTATGTCAAAGTGTCAATGATCCAATATAAGTACTTAAGGTGAAATGAAGAGTCTAAGTAACATAGCTCGGAATTAATAAACACAAAGATAAGGAATTTCTTCAACTCCGTATTTGTCACTAACTAAAGCACATCACATACCTGTGCCAAAATATTATATGATACTACACTGAATTTGTATGCTGCAAAACAAAACAAAAAAAGGCATGCCAGTCAGCCATAAGTCACATAAGATACTTAGACTAAAAAATAGGATGATATTATCATATTATAATTGCAATTTCTTGATAAATGCACCCAAAAAAAAAAAAGGCTTCCTGTATATAAGAAGGTGGGGCAATAGTAAGAGTAATTTGCTTAGACATGGTTTACATAAAAGTTCCAATGGTAGTGACTAACATGATCAGCGGTTAGGGATCTAGAGTCAAAAGGTAGGGAAAAAAAGTGCATGGTATACAATATTATACAGTTATTAACCCATATAGGAAGGCTAAAATAGATAGCCCATTATTTCATCAAAATATCATATGACAGAATTCATTTCTTGTTAGCTTGCTTCAGGAAAAAATTCCCATGAAAGAAAACAATGATAGACTCTTTACTATCTTCTGAGGATGATACCATTCAAGAATTGGAGACTTTCTCTTACAAGCAATCAAGATGAGGGAAGTTAAAGTGTTAAACTGCTAATCACAAAGCATGGCTAGGAGATGAAACTGATCAGGCTTCCCATTGGGCCCATTTGGGTCACACAAAATTCATATTTATATCACGTGTCAGATTTTCAGTTAAGTGCTTAACAAATTATCAGTTCAGAAAATGCATGTCATCAAAAACATGTTACACTTATGAATCATTGATTTACACTCTTTACAGGATAAAAGATTATGCCCCATATCTTGAACTGGCAGACCTGATTGCTAGGACAATACTTATAAAGCACAAACCTACCTTCAGAGCTGCTGATCGAAATAATTTTACTTTGCTCCACAGGAACAAATTTGGGACACAATGGTACTGCTTCCACAGACATTGTGGCAAAATTAGGAAATCTGAATGAAAATCAATTATATAGAATTATTTCAGATATATAATAGGATCTTGATCGAATATCAACAACAGCATTTGATTACATCTACTGCTAAACTACTGCATCAACAATCAATATGAGGCATATAAGTGAAACAATCGGAGTAGACATCTGAGTTGAAAGACTCATCAATTCAAGTTGTTTGATAAGGGAAGAAAACTGGCTAGAACCTACTATAAAAGGGCCAACCTAATCATCCTTTCAAGCAGCACATCACACTAGAGCTCACCAACCTAATCATCCTTAAAAATGTACCACATCACATCAGACTTTACTGTAGAAGCATAAACGTTATCATCCTATTGAATGCATTGCATTAGCCATCGAATCGATAAAAACACAAGAATAAGAAAGAATCAATAATTTCAGCAATTCAACAGTATGCAACACTTGTCAAGCTCATTTTTGTAGTGGTTTTATTAAATTCATGTCTTTCAATTTCTTTTTCTTTTCCATACTTCCTGTTTTCATAATATTGATTCAATCAATTTAAAGGCAGGCCAATGTCACCAGATATCCCTATTGAAGAAATAAAACTTACATAAATATAGATTAAACAAAAAAAAAAGTTCCAAACTTTCAATGTCATGAACAGAAATTGAGAAGAAAAAAAAATAAAAAAAAAAAAACACACACACACACACAACATTGGCAAAACCCATTAAAAATTAACAGCAAAAAATCAAAATTAATGAAAACCCAGAAATGATAACAGGTATATATTAATCAAAAGAATATGAAGAATGCCAATAATCTGAAAGAAAGAGGGAAAGAGAAATGGACCTTCGAGAGGAGGAGAAGGGTAAACGAGGAAACAAAGAAAGGGTCTTCAACATCAGTTGTGATTTAATTGATTGATTTTCTTCGAGTTTTCAGAATTATAAAAATGGGGTTATTCAATTCAAAGGAGTTAGTGGGCGCCTGGGCTAATTTTGCTCTTCTGGAGATAAAAGTTTGCAGATGTAGTAAACTCTGGTCTTGAACGTTTTTACTTTGAAGGGTATATTATTGCAAAGTGATTAGATTAATGAGTGTTTAGGATGAGCAAATTTGATCTTACATGCGAGTGTACATGCACATCGTTCAAAATGATGTTGGGGTTCTTTTACTTTAAAATTATTTAGTCTTTTGTAAGCATAATGCACATCATGCTCTCGAGTGTATGATCTAAATTTCATGACAAATGACTCATAAAATCACCTTATGCTCTAGTTTACAATTTTTTCGAACCTAGGAGAATTGTAAACATAGAGAGTCTACGTTAATATGAAGTACATAATAGTCATAATTGTGGAAGCTACATAATTATATGAAGTATATAAATCAAAAGACTAATTTATGGCTTCACCCTCTAAAATCTCAATAAGCAAACAAGAACAAAGCAAGTTATGGGGCTTTAATCTTTTCTTGTACTCGAGAAGTTTTACTTGCTAGTCATCTTCATAGTCAAAGTTTTGGCAATGTAAGCATTCGAATGAACAAAAGCTTTAACTTTTTAAGAAAAATAATGATGGGTCATGTACTCTATCAGAATCACTAGTAAATTTGTTATACCATCAACGATCAACATCCAACTATAAAAGTTATAATTAACATTTTTCATAGCTATTTTCTTATCTATTGGATCCAAGAAAAGAGTACCTAGTCCCATGACCACATGTTAGAATACCTAATTAGCCCGACAATATCAAGCAAGCCTTGTCAAAAAATTTCGTTACTCTCCATGCCCTTCCTCCATGGATTGAAAGGGTTTACACTTGCTAAGCTAATTGCTACACTATGCAATATATCAGGAATTTAACTAACATTTTACTAATACTAGATTACTAGGTAATTGCTGAACAATAATGCTTCCAAATTCCTATAAACTCATCAAATGAATTGAAGTCATCCTGATTCATCCAACATGTAAACTGCTAACGGTTTTTTTACACACCAAATTTGGAAGTCACCAACTTGTTTGCATCTTAATTCCATTGGCCCCAATAAGACATCACCAGCTCTAATTGAGAATACACTTAACAATGTGATTAATTAAATTATGTGACTATGAATTTATAATTATAATCTTTTCTATGGGTGATGACGGTCCTTACCATATGATATACAACTAATACAAGTATTTCGTACTACTTTATGATTTGATCCATTTTTAATTTTGAAAATCAATGCGAGGAAAACTATTGTTACGTGTTTGTATAGCCAATTGATTTAGATATTGCGAGTCCAACTGATACTCCGACAGAGTGTAAAATTAATCATAGGATTTCAACTATCAACTTAGCATCGGGATTGGTCTTGTATACAATTATCAGCAAAGCAACATTTATTATTTGATAATACTTTATGTTCAATAGTTATAATTTGCATTACATACATTAGAGCTTACTTAAGCCAAAAAAAATGATTCTTGTTATATCTCGTACTACTGTAATACTCACGGCTCCTTGGCTTTTATGTCTCGTGAAACTCAAGGGTAGGGATGGCAATGGGTAAGGTCTGGGTAGGGTCTAATAATACTCGTACTCGTACCTGGAATTTTCAATCCATACCTGTACCCTATCCGAACCCTTAGGGTCTAAAATTTTAAGACCCTTACCCGGACCCTATGGGTCTAGCACGGTCTAGGTAGGGTTCAGGGTCCAATATAGGCCATTCACTAACCTTTTTTTCCAAATTTTAATCGACTAATTTATATTGTACAATTGCATGTATTGTGCAAAAAACAAATAAACTAATACATAAGAACATGACCGATTAATTAGACATATTGTAAAACAATTTAAATTAAATAAAAAAAATATATTAGAATGATAGATAAACAAATTATTATTATTATCCATAAGCACATTACAATCATAGTTTTGTAAAAGTAAGTGCACGACTAGAAAGTTAATAGCCTACTATTTATAATCGTCTTTCGTATCATACTCGATTTCATCATTAACATCCTACAAAATCAACATCCTTAAGATTTTTTTCTATTTGATTTTGAAACTTTGTCTAAGTTAATATATTATGCGGGTCTGGGTAGGGTATGGGTCTCAAGGGTCCGTGGGTAGGGTTTGGGTCTAAAAAAATCATACTCGAACCCTTACCCTACCTGATGCCGCCTAGACACATACCCTACCCGTACCCATAGGGTCTACAAAAAAAGACCTATACCCGTATTTTAGGGTAGTGTCCGTCAGGGTCTGGGTAGAGTTCCAGACCCATTGTCATCCCTACTCGAGGGGCATTTCCTTGGTTTTACTCATCTTCATAACTCATAACTAGTCATAGAGGAAAGATATATACATAGCATCATAGCATGAAGGTTCTTCTACGTACCTTAATTAGAGTATGACCTTTAGCTAAACTAAAATTGGATCTTATTAGATTTGTATTAGTGAAACGCTAAACATCGCCCGCAATTTACCATATAAAGCCCACAAATATGTTATGATTTGACCATTATGCCCTTTTGCTAAAATTGAAATAATCTCGGTGTAAAAAATGTGGAGCCGTACTGGCTCGCCGGGGGAGACCGGATGGCAGGCCGGAGATGCGGGGGACGCCGGAGGTACGTCGTCGTCGACGGAAAACGAGGTAAGTCACCGTTAAAATTCACGGTTTACCGTCGTAGTGGCTCCGGCGCCTAGGGTGGACGCCCAAACCGTAGCCTGGACGTCCAAGCCGGACGCCAGAACCACCAGAGTGGCGTCCAGGCTAGACGCCCAGACCACCAGAGTGGCGTCCAGCCCAGACGCCCAGACCACCAGACTGGCGTCCTGGGCAGACGCCACTCCACTGGGTGAGGCGGCCCTGCCAGGCGCCAGTCCAGTGGTTGTGGCAGCCCTGGCAGACGCCACCTTTAATAATTAATTTTTATTTTTTCCTTTTTGATTTTGTTGTTGTTTTTTATTTAATTTTTTTGTGAAAAAAAAAATCGAAAATGATTTTTTAAAAAAATTCGAAATGGGTTTTTTGTAAATTAAATTTGAAAATTCGAAATAGGTTTTTTTAAAATTAAATTTGAAAATTCGAAATGGTATATTTTTAAATTTAGTTTGAAAATTCGAATTGGGTTTTTATAAAAATTAAGTTTGATTATATATAATTATGTTTTTTTTTTGTGTTAATTATGTGGAAATATAGAAATTAAATGTATTATCCGTTAAATGTATTTATTGTAATATATAATTGATGCAGGAATATGGTGGAGACGGAAATGATTACAGTGAGATATTTGGACATGATGGTCCATTCGAAGAAGCTCAACAGGCGATTGATTGGGCAAAACAGGTTGCAATTGCAGCTGGATTTTGCTTGGTAGTAGCAACTCATAAATCTCAACGGGATGGTAGAATGGATCGCATTTTGAGATGTGACCGTTATCGCAAAAGAGAAGAAAGAGATTTTCGTACAGCCACTCGGTTTGACACAAAGCGGAAAGGTTGTGGGTGTGAGTTCAGAGTAAAGGTTCGACAACTACGGAGTCGTGACGGTTGGGAAGTGATAGGTTACTCTAAATGGGGGTATCACAACCATGAGATGATAGTATATGAAGAGGGTCATCGACAACTGAGCGGCTTAAGTCCTGCTGCAAAACTAGTTGTGAAAGAAATGAGTGATGCTCAAGTGAAGCCTGCTAAAATATTAGCATCTGTGTTAGAGAAATTTCCAGAAGACCATCCAAACCGAAGACACATCTACAACGTCAGACAGCAACTCAGGTTTGAACGGTCAGAGGGAAGGAACCCTATACAGCAGCTGCTACACCAGGCACAATCACGTGGTTACCTGTTCTGGTTTGATTCTGATGAAGATACAGCGGAGGTGACTCATCTTTTCCTTGTGCATCCAGATTGTGCTGATATGATCAAGTCTTGGCCATTTGTGATTTTGATCGACTCAACGTACAAGAAAAACAAGTACAAGTTCCCTCTGGTTGAGATGGTTGGGATGTCTCCAACGAACCAGAACTTTCTGATTGGTCATGCAATCATCAGGGATGAGACGGCTCCAAGTTATTATTGGGTGTTGGAGAAGCTGAGAAACCACATCGGGCCTAATGTTCATCCAGCAGCCATCGTCAGCGACTGTGAGGGAGGTCTCTTTGCCCCCATAGCAGAGCTGTTTCCCGAATCGAACCACTTATTGTGCACATGGCACATCAACAACTGCGTGAAAGTGAAAGCCTACAACCTTTTCAAGAAGAATTTGGAAATGGCAGAGAGATTGGTGAATGGTAAGTGGCGGAAGATCCTACAGGCTACCACAGAGGAAGCGTATGAGCGAGCATTGGCTAACTTCAGGGATTCGTACCAGTGGTGTCCGGCACTGGTGGACTATGTGATGCATCAATGGGTCCCTCACAGGGAAAAGTTTGTCAAATATTGGACAAACCAGGTACTTCATTTTGGGAACACTACAACATGTAGAGTTGAGAGCGCTCATAGAGCTACCAAGGACTGGATTGATTCATCGACCGCTGCTTTGGATACACTGTTCGCTAGACTGAACAAGTCAATTGAAACTCAGAAGAACGACATCAGGAACTCTCTAGAGGACTCCAGACGACGACATGGTACGATGTATAGCCATTTTATATTTAAGATTCTCCAAGGTCGTGTGTCGCACTACTGCTTGGGGTTGATTCTCACTGAGCTGAACAGGGTGAGGGACTTGGCTGACGAAGTGTATACTCGGTGTGGGTGTACTATTTCAGTAACTCATGGATTACCTTGCGCATGCACCATTCACCGCGTTATTACAGAAGAAAGGGCGTCGTTACATGTTGATCAGGTCCATTCATTCTGGAGGACGCTTGTTATTGGTGAGCATGCAGACAATCAAACGGCCGACCGTGAACAGGAGGAGTTGGAGCAGTTCCGTTCGATGTACGACCGAGTGTCCTCCAGCCATCCTTCTATTATTCGTGACGCTACTCATGTACTTCATGACATGTTCCACCCGTCTAACTTAGATTATGAGGAACCCGAAGGAGTTGA